AAAAAAACGTTCAAGAAATTCTTACTGTGTTGAAAGTGTCACGACAGCGCCGCAAAATATAATAAGAGAAGATGTTATAAAGGAAAGAATCAGAACAGGGTGACTACTACTGTTTTGTTAATTTGTCTTTATGACAAATAGAAGACTTGTTTCTTGTGTTCTTTGTGTCCTAACATTTGTACTTCTACAGTTAGTATATTCCAAATCTAGGCATCTCGTTTTTCGGCCATTCGTGTTTTTATTGCGCGCTTGCCTTAAATTTAAGGTAATTAGATTTAAGGTCTCCAGTGGACGTCATCCATAGCAATTACTTGGTGTGGCCGTAGAAAATAACCTGACATATGTCCAACCTATCCTCCCCCTGCTGAAGTTATAGTACAATCCCTCAATGTAACGTCATTTGATCCCATCCCATTATGGGGTTCCCCGGCGGTAACAGCTATATCCAGCTGTCGGCTGTCTCCAAGCAGATGTAGGTGGGGGATTTCTAAACACAAAAGGTCCTATTACGGGGACATAACGACCTCCACGACTCTCATCTTTGAACTCCATCTTGGAGACCACCACAGTAACATGCCTATGAAATTTCATTAACTTTCATCCACACATACAAAAGTTATCCTGCTCACAAGAAAAATTAACAAAATGCCCCCAGTAGTCACAACGAAACCCCCCACGAAGCTCAGTAACGAACTTGACCTTGGTCCCGACAATAGTAAGCACCACACCAAGAATTATAATCAACATTTTACAAATACTTGAGTTATTTTGCTAACAAGCCACAAACACAAAAGGTGCACTAACGTAACGCACGGACCCCCCACGAAGCCGAAACTTGTACTTGATTTTGGCCTCAACAATGGTAATCTGCCTGCCAAAAATCATGGACGTCGAATCATGCCTTCCAGAGTTATATCGCAAAATCCGCAGTTCCCCACACTCCGGCGAGACAATTTCATAGTCCTTCTGACGAAGACAAATATGAGAGTTAAAACTTTTGGCACTGGCTTTTGTCTAGAGTTAGTCAGCAAGGAGGTTTGAACCTTCTTGGGCTTAGCACAACATTGTTCTCCCATGACTCAAGTTTTTAGTGTAGCAGAATCATTTTAATGGTAAAAACAAGTTAGCTTGTCTTACTGTATTCTCTACAAGCATGCAAGTTTCAAGTTTTTTCAAGTTTATTTATTTCACCAGGGAATACCTCAGATCCATTGATCTGCTTTTCAGGTATCCCTGGGCACACATTAAAACATACAATTTCATAAAAATACAAGTCGAACCCAACAATATACAAAAACGTTACAAACATGTACATATACAACACAGTCACATTATAGAGTTAAACCTCACCTTTTGGCATAGTTAGAGAGCATGTTCTTTTGATTTAGACGGTACTGAAGGCCAAGTTTAAGTGTTACAGTATTAATGTCCATGTGGGTTAGTATGATTACTAACAGATGGGACCTGTCTGACTTAGATGCTGACTACAGTGCACTATAAAAATATGGCTCTGTTAGTGTTACTAGTGTTAGCGAACATAGACCTGGCTTAGAACTACATGGTCCACTGTGACTCAAGTTTTAGTGTAACAGTTAACAGTTCTTCATTTTAATGTGAAAAGCAAGTAAACTTGCTTGTCAGTATACTCTAGAAAAATGGAGAGTTAGAACTCAGCTTTTTGCCACAGTTAGCGAGCATGTTCTTTGGACTAGAAGGCCAAGTTTAAGTGTTACAATGTTAACATCGCTGTTGGTTTAATAAGTAACAGATTGGGCTTGTCTGGGTCCAATATGTCACAGTTCACTATCAAAACATGGGGTTAAAACTTTTGGCACTGGCTTTTGTAGTGAACACACCCATAGACTTGGCTTTGAACAGCATGGCTCCCCTGTGATTCAAGTTTTAGCATATTAACATTAATCTTCAGTTTGAACTTGTTAGAAACAAGTGAATTCGTCTTACTACTACTTTATTACCCAAGTACAGCAGGGGCATTGTCATTAGATAGCTTTAAACAATGTCTAGAGTTAGAAGTTCAAGGGTTGGTGTAACAAGTCAATCGGTGTAATTTAGCCAGCTGCCGCCGTGCCGCGTGCCTGCGAAGCTGGTGTGTTACGCCGAAAGGCGGTTATACCGGCTATACAGATACAGAAGCTGGTGTGTTACGCCGAAAGGCGGTTATAGCTGCTATACAGATACAGATATATAATATAATACTAAACAGTATTCTCTTGAAACGTGGAGATTAACTCAACTTTTGGGACAGTTAGTCAGCAAGTTCTTTGGTCTAGAGGGTACTGAAGGCCAAGTTGAAGTGTAACAACCTCAACGTCACTGTCTGTTAGTATGATCACTTACAGATGGCACCTGTCTGACTTTTACACTATCAAAACATGGAGTCAAAACTTTTGGCGCTGGCTTTTGGCCCAGTTAGCGAACATGAACTTGGCTTTAGAAAACATGGTTCCCTGTGGCTCAAGTACAAGTGTAACGTTACTAATTATAATGTGCCCCTGGCTAACAGGTTTGAACCTGACGAACTTAAATGCTGACTAAAGTTTACTGTAATTTGAAACATGCATGCAGCTTAAGTCAGCTTCAGGAACTGTTAGTGAACATGAGCTTCATGGAACAACATTGGCACCTGCATGACTCAAGTACAAGTGTTAAATTACTACTTATAATGTGCACTTGAGTTAACAGGTTGAACCTGAAATGCCTGACTAAAGTTTACTGTAAAAACATGGGCTAAAGTCAGCTTTAGGAACTATTATTGAACATGAACTTCGTAGAACAACATGGTTTCACATAACGTTGTGCACTTGAGTTAACAGGTTGAACTTGTATGGCTCGTGTTTGATTAAATTCCTGACTAAAGTTTACTGTAAAAACATGCATGGGGCTCAAGTCAGCTTCAGAAACTGTTAATGAACATGAACATGGCTTAAGAACAACACAGTGTAAGAGTACTAATGTTAACAAGTAGAACCTGTCTGACTTAAATGCTGACTAAACTTTACTTTGAAAATATTGGGCTCAAGTTGACTGAAGCTTTAGGAACTGTGTAAGGAATGTGGACTTGGCCTTAGAAGTTAGAACAACATAGCTCCCCTATGACTCAAATTTAAGGCCACACCAATCTCTTAAGCTTGCAACCTCCTTTTATACTATTACACTTTACACTTAAAGGATTTGCAATTTGCTTCTTTTATGTGTAGTTTTGGGTCACTGAAACAGTGATACTATTTCAGAGCATGGAAAAGCTTGGATGTTGTAGCCTCCGTAGCAGGCTTATAGAACTGGGGGTTTGGTGGTCTTTGGCTGTTTTCTGATTAGTTCAGTTCTATTAAAACTGGGGTAATTCAACCAGGCCGGCTATGTTGTCTATCTGCAATCAGAAACTAGCACATAAAAGCTCCCAATGACAATGAAGACCCCCCAAAACCCCCAGTTTTTGGCATGCTATGGAGGTTAGGATGTTGTCTGAATGACACTGTGTGTTAGGGAATGTGAACTTTGGTGTTGTGTTTTCTAGTCCAAACAAACACTTGTCTGTCACTGAAGTCAGCTGTTAACCTTCCACTAGGATGGACTTGGCATTTTGGGGCCAAGCAGATCTAGAGATTATGATAGATATATGATATATCAAAATTCAAAATGATTAATGTATAGGCTATATTATATTTGTGTCTTCGAGTTACTGTAATTTACTTAATGTTCGCGGCAGCAAAAGTTCACGGTCCAAAAAAATGGACATGATCATGGAACTATGTTCACAGTGGTGACAGGTGCAGGAAAAAGGAAGTCAGCAAATTATTTGTTAACTGTAAGTGTAAATGATACGTTTGCGGTACAGAAGTGACAGTGAAAACTGCATCCTGCATTTTACTCATACACAATTCAAACTTGGGAAGTTTTGGTATTGATACTAGTATCTAATGATCTGGATATGCTAGGGTCTTAAATTTTTGGACGGTAGATACATGTAGCTCTTGTATTGTTTCTTGAATAATGCCTTGACAAAAAAATGTGTCATGTTAATATTTTGAAACCCATTTTCCATATCATCACAATGCGTCATTGTGGTTCAACCCTTTACATACATGTACATATTGATTCAATGCAGACCATTCTGTCAACATTATGTCATGAATAAATATTACTAGTACATTGTGTGCAAATATTACAGGGTTTTGGTCAAGGTGCATAAAGATTTGTATTGTTTCCAGATGTCTCTATTCTCACACCCAAAACTTACTCCTAAAATATTCCATTATCAGTCTATAGGGAATATTTTCAGTTAACCAAATACCACATAAAAGCTCAAAGATAAGATGTGATAAAGGCAAATGTTTGGGTTTAGAATTACATTTCTAAGGGCACAGGAAAATGTGTTTTAAAATATGTACATGTAAGGGAATGTACCTTAGGAAAATCCTTTGTTTTATTTAAAACATTGTGTATTTGACTGATTTTGAGATTTGCAGGTTTGCAGTTTTCTTTATGTAGTAGAGGGGATTCATTCCTCAAGCTAACCGACATCTCCCACACACAGTCGTCCCTCAGTAAGACATCTGGAGCCCCATAGTTCCCGTTTAGAACTTTTATTCAGCCTGTGACACGTCCGGTTTAGCCTGTGTGGCTTCTTCAAGTGTATGACACAACTTCATGAAGTTCTGTATCTGTATCTGTATAGCTTCTAATCTCCAAGCAGATCCCTTTTGGTAGCAGGACAGCAGTGTCCATTAGCCAGCGGAGTTTGTACAGCCACCAAAGCTAACGGACACTCCTCTGGCCAATGGATACTGCCTTGCCACTGTATGGTCTGCTTGGAGATTATACCTTTATACCATCCCAGTGCAAAGTGCCCTGGTAACATGATACCATGCAGTTCATAATGCCCCGACCTTAGCTTGTCCTACAAAGTGACATCTATTGTTCAGGTTTTCAGTTTTCTTACGTATTGTAAACTATAGATGTTCTTTGTCTCCTCCTTACAGAACAGACAAGACGTCTAGAAGATCCTGAGACACTAGCCAAGACATCTGAAGACCCATCAGGCTGCCAGAAGCCGTCTTGTTTCTGTTGAGGTGTTTGTTTACCAGCGTCACCGTGGCGACTCGGAAACTGTTCTCCATGAAGATGAGTGAGACCTGGGTCTGCTTCTCCTGCTGTTACACCGAACAGCCGCAGCCGGTTAGTTAACTAGTTATCATTAACTCATTAACTCATTAACTAGTTAATAATGCTAACCCAGACCTGGGTCTGCTTCTGCTATTACTGATAAGTCGGTTAGTTAACATCAATATTAAAATAGTTATCATTGTTAACCACTTACTAATTAACTTATCAACTTTCAGTAACTTTCCTAATGAGTTCTTCTTGACTTGTTTTACAGAGGAGAAAAAGAATAGACCGGTCGATGATAGGCCAACCTACAAACTTTGTCCACACGGGACACATAGGCCACGGGGACATGGCTGGCAATCATGTAAGTACACAAACAAACAAACAAACAAACAAACAAACAAACATAGGCCACGGGGACATGGCTGGCAATCATGTAAGTACACAAACAAACAAACCAACAAACAAACAAACATAGGCCACGGGGACATGGCTGGCAATCATGTAAGTACACAAACAAACAAACACACAAACACACAAACAAACATAGGCCACGGGGACATGGCTGGCAATCATGTAATTTTTTTTAATGTCATACCTGGGTCACAAGTATGTTCGATACGGGTGTTCTGGACCGGGCCTTACTTTACGGTACGGCCCGGGCTTCTTTAAGCGTACAGCTTCAAATGTTCCATAGTACGATTCAAACATGTTTCGCCCTAACCGCGTGCACCGCTTTCAAAAATTTGAATACAAAATCCGGACGTTGGAATTGATGTTGTTGCATTTTTTGGGTTTAGGGACAAATTTTCGCTTGTTTCGCATTGAAAGGCGTGTTTTCTTGGGTGGGTATGACATAAATAAAATACAACGAGGTATATTCCGCATCACCCTCAGTCAAGGCCCTCCCGCGGATCGGATCTCCCTCCGGTTCTGAATGTGTAACAGGGGCCAGTAAGACCTTTACACATACAGACAGTCACCATGCCCAGAATTGGTGCCATTCCTAGTCCACCCATTCAGACATTGAGCAGTGACCAGGGCACATGTGTACATGTGTACATACTGACCCTACATGTACAGACATGCATGGAACTCCGGACTGTATCTTAAGAAGGTACACATGTCCTTGTAGCCTCCTTCAAGGAGGTTGGGGTTCCTTGGCCATTTCTAAGAAAGGCTAGTGAGTGTGTGAGCAGCTATTTATTTTCTTGACTTTCTGATAAATTCTAAATGGCAGATGTTCAACAAAAGTTCTATATGAAAACAGAAGGCTTGAAAACTTAAATTTTATAAATTTTATCTGTATAAAACTGTATGCTAAGGCGTAAAACTGCTAAGTGGTATGAAAATATAGCAGCAAAATAGCGCTAGAAAGTTCTAGTCTGCTTCTTGTCTCAAATTCAAGACTCTGGTTACACAATTTTGTTGTTATTTTCTATGCCAGGATGAGGCAGACTCAGTACAACAACAGTCAAAAGTAAGCATGTTTCTTTAAAAAAAACTGACCGCAATCACAAAATCAAAATCTTCATTTCAAAATGATCATTGTTCAGGTGAAATTGTCTTCTGGTTAATTGTAAAGGAATCATGATTGTAACAATTGATTCTGAAACAAAGAGATTGATCTAATTCTGTCTCAACCAGATAGCTATAACTAAGGACATTATACTTGCTATAATTCAAAATCAATTTTTATGGTACATGTACAAACAATGTTTATATGTGTATATGTATGTGTGTGTATGGTTTAGCACGATAACACAAGAAGCTACAGAAGGATTATCATGAAACTTGGTCGGTGGGTAGGTCTTGATGAGACCTGGAAACTGATAGATTTTGGTCCTCCTAGCAGCTTGTTATGGTACTGCAGCGGAACTTACAGTTTTGCTATTTTGTTCCAGATCAATTCGGTGCAGCTGCAAATGAGATCGAAGGGAGGCTACGATCACTCGTCACCGGTCAACAACTACCAGATCAGAGCAGTAGCCGTGGGGGAGCTTAATAACCATAACTAGGTGAGATGGGACATTAACTATTCTGCTACATAAATGTACATGTACGGTCAAGTGGTTGTGAGTTCGAATCCTGTTTCTTTTCACAATTTCTTTTATTGACCTCTTCACCAATGTACACTACTACTATACAATTAATTCCCCCAAAACACATGAACTTATGAACAGTATACCCATATTACATTGGTTCTGAGAAATGTTTTAATACCTGAACTAAGAAATAATCTAATGATCAAACATTCATATTGAGACTGTTGCACATGACGTATTTGTCAGGGCAGATTGGAGCTTGAACAGAATGCCTTGGCCATGGTATTTGTAGGCTTAATGCTTGGTGTATTCCCAATCAGAAAATATG